GACTCTTTCTGCAGCCTTTCTATAGCTGCTCCTTGGCTCCTTCTTACTGCTGTCTTTCAGTCACATCCCAGATCTTCTGGTAGGAAAGATCTACACCTAACGGGCCCTTTGCGCACGTTAAAGACCTCTTGGTGGTCTAACAACCGATAAGAGTAGGCTTCGGCCGCCACCCGGGCAAAATTAAAAAATTCCGATCAACTAAAAAAGTTTAATGTATTCTCCGCGCTTATATGACTATATTAAGTTGCGAACGTCGTAAAACACTTATCCCCAAAAACAAATGCTAGCTCTGTCATAAAATGATGGAGAGCACTTTTCTCGACTATCGAACCTGTCATGTTATCCGAAGTGACCTTAACACAGGCAAAGACGCGCTCACGCGTACGAAAACACACACAAACACACACACACACACACACACACACACACACACACACACACACATAAACACACACACACACACACACACACAAACCACAGTCACACAGACTTGTAAATCCCCGTACATCGTGTCGTCGTCATTCAGCATTGTGGTATGTCAAAATTCCGAAAAAATTTTAATCAAGCATGTGATACGGTTTAAAGAGGAGAATTGTTTTGTTGTACTCTCATTATTTTTCTTAAAAGATTAGGATATGTTTGTGTAAGTGAGTATGTGTGTGTGTGTGAGTGTGTGCATATTTGTTTATTTAATAAAACACTTTATATTTAGATAATTCTCTGTTCAAAAACGAGCAAACAGTGTTCCGATTATCCAAAAAATCTCGTATTTTGACATTCGGCAAACACACACACACACACACACGCACACACACACACACACACACACACACACACACACACACACACACACACACACACACACACATACACTCACTCTTTCAATTTCGGGGGCTCTCGTGGCCTAGAGGTTTAGGTGTTGGCCTCTCATTCAAAGGTCCCGGGTTCGAATCCGGGTATCGACCGAAAAAATTTCTTCTCTAAAATTGTCTCTTTCACATCCTTTCCTGCTCTCTAGCAACGTTCTGTTGTCTGCTTTCATTTCCACTTTCTGTCCCCACCTTCTCACCTCTTTTGCCCCCTCCTCTGGGCTCCTGACTCTTTCTGCAGCCTTTCTACCGCTACTCCTTGGCTCCTCCTTACTGCTGTCTTTCTGCCACACCCCTGATCTTCTG